GTGAAGAATTAGACCCTTCAAATAATTTTAAAGCAAGCAATGGATGGCTAGCTCGATTTCGTACTCGTTATAATATCCAGTTTAGGGTTATTTGCGGTGAAAGTCGGTCAGTTGATCAAAATACGGTCGATGATTGGAAAACTCGTTTGACAAACATTATTGAACATTATGATCCTGATGATATCTTTAACTGTGACGAAACCGGCCTATTCTACAAGCTAATGCCGGATCGATCAATGACGGTGGACAGAAATGATTGTAAAGGGGGGAAAAGATCTAAAGATCGATACACCGTGATGTTATGCTCGAATTGGTCCGGTACTGAAAAGTTAAACCCTATTGTCATTGGTGAGTTCATCTTACGCAACTCTTATTTTGTAACAGTTCTTTTTTTCTGTTCATGTTTTAGGTAGATCAGCTAGGCCCCGCTGTTTTAAGAACATTGACATAAAGAAACTGCCTGTCTCGTGGTATAGCAATCGTACAGCGTGGATGAACAGCAGGATCTTCATCGAATGGTTGGATGAATTTGATTCCATTATGCGAAAAAGAAAAAGACACATTCTGCTCTTCCTCGACAATGCACCGGTCCATCCTCCAGATGTTAAACTGGAAAATATTAAATTAAAGTTTTTTTCCAGCAAATGCGACCTCAAAAATTCAGCCGATGGACCAAGGAATTATTAGAGCGTTCAAGGCGTATTACAGGCGGCATCTAGTCAAGCATATTATTGCCAGTGCCAGTACTGCCATGACAGCTGATGATGTCAATGTTACTGCTTTAGATGCTGTTTATTGGATACAATCAGCATGGGAAACAGTGACCGACACGACTATCAAAAACACATTTAAGGCAGCCGGTTTCGAAAGGTCTACTATTTCGGATGGACTCAATGTGGCACAAATCAGTTCAATTATAGGTGAAGATAATTCAACAGCAGATAAATCAATTGCAGAACTTGATCGAGTATTGAAACACTTAACTGTTGGTGGTAAATCTATGTCTGCTTATGACTATGTGGTGAGATCGAAAACATCTACACTCAAATATATTTTACTAATTCTATTTTGATTGTTTCAGAACTTTGACGATGATATACCGGCATTTAACGAATGGGACGATTCAGTCGACAAATTATTAGTAATCAATGGTATTACTACTGATGACGTCGATAATAGCGAAGATGTGCCCAATGAAGAGCCACCTTCATTATCTGAGTCGTTAGAACTAGTTCGTCGTCTTCGTCTCTTATCAACAACACAACAGCCGGAATTACACACCTACATTATTCAACTAAAATCCAAGCTTACTGATGCATTCCTCGATTCAAATTTGTCAAAACAGAGATCTATATTGGAGTATTTCAAATGTTTACCTATGGAATCTCCTGTTAAATCCTAGGACATAAATTTATTTTCCTGACATTATAAGAGAATGAAACAAATCTAATTTCAATAAACTGCAATTAATCACTATATAGAATAGAACTTATACGTATTATAAAATTTGAAAAAACTTTATATTTGCATAAACCCCCTCCTAAACCCGCTAAAG